GTCTTCATTTTTAGTAGTTGGCAACTAATTCCTGTTTCCTCTTTTGGGTCATCAGAATGGACCAGATAGGAATGTGTTATCCTTCTCTGTAGCTAGAAACCAGGGCTTAAAATTTCTTCTTGTCCTTTGGAGGAAACCTCTCTCTTCAGCTCTCTTAAGTTTAATACTACGCATTTTATGACATGGGTCTCCTGACTTCATTTTGGAAGTCAAGTAAGAAAAAAGGGAAAGTATATATAACATATAAGTGTCAGGACAATAAGAAGTCTTAGGTTTTGCCTTCCTAGTTGAAAGAAATGGGGTGTGAAAACACTTTTTGGGGGGCAGCAGCGAGGGTAGCATTTACCTTCTGGTGATCAGGAAGGACTTCACGGTAAGGCCAGTTTCTGTTCCACTTCCTTTTAAACTTTACCATATACCATTAATATTTGTAATGGTTCTAAATTTGTATTTTTTTTCTTTTAGGTTTGTTTAAAGAGGAAAATCCATATGCCAAATTTGAAAATAACTAAGACTTCTTTTGAAATATCCCAAATATCATCTGGAAGTGCTGTCTATATAATGTACAGCTGTGAAAAAAGATATGTACATTAGATGTCTTAATTGCAAATAGAAAAATGCTCTTAACGTAAGATGAAGCTGACCATAACTACAGTGACTGATAAAGACTGAGATTAATGAACAAACCAACATACCTCTAAAACTCTGGAGGCTGCAATATATTCATGTTATTTTTTTTCTAGTTATTAAGCAGATGCTTGTGCTACTATAATATTTTGCTTCTTGTGCATTGTTCAATTGCCAGCCAAGTCTTAAGCTAAATTTATTGATGAATCGGGACAGGATGGTGCACATACTGTATCCTTTTCTTCTTTGACCAACAGTTTGAGACATTCTAATATTAATAGTAGAAATAAGACAAGGTTTTAAAGATCCTTGTATATACTTAGAAATTTCCTATACAAAAATATCATACACTTTAATAGATTCTCTGGCAAAAGTGACTAAATTATTCCAGAAAGAAATTGCTCTCAAAATATATTTGTTATGGAATTCTAAGGGTCTGCACTTTTATAAATTGATTCTATATTTCTTTGCAAAATATGTATAGTCCTTTGTTTTGTGCCTTAAAAAAATCTACCAGAGAAGTCGTTAAGCTGAATGTTAATAAGAGCATTAATGTTTATACTGGCATTCATTTAGCCATATGCATTTAAACTGTAAAAGTTCAGTTGCATTCAGTCTTCTTGAATTACTTTAATGTTGTAATACAAATTTGCCAAACCCTTTAATGTATGTGTATCACATTCTATCCTTATGTATCCAAATGGTAACGTATTGTATAATGTCTGAAAGAATGTCCTTTATAACTACAATGTAAATTTATGTACTTTAAGTCTTACTGATAAAATCTTTCAGCTTGATGCAATAGTCTGTTTTCAGGCAATTCTATATTTGGTGTCTTATGCACTGGAGGGTAAACATTTTTTTTTTCTGACAGGGCATATCAAGACTAAGAAAAATTGATTTTGTAATATTTAATGTTAATTGGAAGAGTGAAATAATTATCTTGAATTTTTTTTTGAATAACTTAAAAAAAAGAAAGGGTACTTATAATTTACATATTTTTTCCTGAGTATTTTTACTTGAACTCTTTACCTATGTGAGAAATGAATGAAAGAAAATAAAACGTCAGCGGAGAATTTGGTGAAGAATATGGAACATTAGCCTTAATTTTTCATCTGAAGAAGTTAAATAAAATGTTCATGCCCTGAAATATTTAGTATTCTTCTGTAGTCCTATGAGTATTGTGTTGTCCATTGCACAGTAACTACAATTCCTTTGAAATGCTTTCTTATATTTACTCTTCAGTTGACTGTTTTATAAAAGTCATAGTGAAGTTTCTCTAGAACTTTCCCTGCTTAAATATATACATTTCCAAAAGATAGAACACTGTATTACAAAAACTTTTATGCAATTCATTTGCCATGTTAAGGGTAATAGTGAAAAATGTAAAGTTTTTAAAATCTCTTCTAATAACCTTCAGAACTCTCTTGAGCTTAAAATGAGAACTTGCATTTGAATGCAGTATTAGACACTGCCTAAGAACATTCTCATGAACTTACCTAATAGAAGTTAACACTGGAATTCCTCTTAAGATATATATTAATCTTGATGCAAAATTCATCTTAATGTACTGGAATTATTAATCAGTTCTTCATTAATGTTAAGGATTTCAAAGGATGTTTGAGAACATTATCTGGATTTTGATGATCATAAATATTAGCCTTAGTTCTCTTTGGAGATCATAAAGATCAGTCTTAGCATTTGCTAACAAAGGTAATCAGTGCCCTCTTGTGTTATTCTAGGTTACTGTTCTCTTTTATGATCCTATATATCCTTCTACAAAACTATTCTTCCCTGAATTGTGCTTACATTTGGACCAGAAATGTCATAAAGTATTTTCTGTAGAAGACATCTGGGTGGGGTGGCTACTGTTGGAACTCCACAGCTTATATACAGATTGTAAAAAAATTATTTTAAGCAAGCATATTTTTAAAATTATTTTAATGGTATTCCAGATCACCTGGAATAGCTGTAGCAAAATGTGCATTAAATACTTGACATATGAATAACACTGTAGAAAAATATCTTTTATAAAGATATTTCTATCAATTCTGGATTGACGAGATAAGGTATAAAAAGTATAACATAATATATATGTGCAGGTGCTTGGAAATAATAGCCACTAAAAGAAGTATTAAATCAGTGACTTAGAATTAACTTCTTGCTGTTTCTTTGCCACTATAAAATAAAATTTTTAGTGACTTTGACTTAATGAAACTTGGATGCCTTCTAAAGTAACACAAGGAACATACCTTTACACATTTTTTCACCTGTGAATATGCTTGCCATTGTGCTTAAATTAGGAAATAACTTTCTTAAAATCAAACTTAGTATCATATTTGCAAAGAATACTACAAACAATGATATACCCGGCAACGAACAATAGAAAGTAGAAGGGATAATTGTAAAACTTAAATGCATATTTTTTTTAAAAAAATATTCCAGTTAAATTAAGAAAATGGCCAAAGTCTTTACCTTCTCTGGTTTATTTTCTGTGAATGCATGTATCCTTATACAGATCCATTATTTCTCACATTTTCAGCAAAAGAAATTTCTGCATTTGTTTGAGGGGCAATTTAATAGATAGACTAATTCCTTTAGCTCGTGCCTTCTGCCAATTTATCCAGAGAACTGTATTAAATTGTACCTCATCCCATTTGCAATCTATGGGGATAAATCTGCAAGTTCAAGTTCCATAGGGAAATAATTTTGTTGCTTCAAGTAGGATTGTCATATTGCTCATCTTATTTCCTGCTTTTTAAAGATATGCAGGAAAAGCTTTCACCTTCAAAGAACAAAAGACTTTTGAAAGTAATACTGAAGAGTTCATGCATGTAGTGCCACAGGTGGCTGGATTCATACATGGTAAGCCATAAACCATTGTTTTTTTAACTGTAGTGCCACCTTCATGTAACACTCAAAACAAAGCACAAAATCCTGCATATTGAGTCTAGGTTCATAATTAGTGTATCATGAGACTACAATCTATGGCTTAGACTTAGAGCAGAGATGGGGAACCTTGGCCCTTTTATGACTTGTGGACTTCAACTCCCAGAATTCCTGACTCAACCACACTCAGGAATTCTGGGAGTTGAAGTCCATAAGTTATAAAAGGGCTAAGGTTCCCCACCCCAGCTTAGAGTGATGCATGAATTCATCATAGGCTAAAATTGTGGAGAGGTTGCATTTCATAATAGACATACATATGTTTAATAATGTGTGTATATGTGGGCATATGGATAGGATTTTTCTAAGAACAATGCATTAGACCAGGGGTAGTCAACCTTGGCTCTTTTATGACTCGTGGACTTCAACTCCCAGAATTCCTGAGCCAGCACAGCTGGCTCAGGAATTCTGGGAGTTGAAGTCCACGAGTCATAAAAGAGCCAAGGTTGACTACCCCTGCATTAGACCTTCAATTCTGACATTTTTTCAGACAAATATTTTTAAACAAGTTACCAGTCCACAGTCCCTGTAAATACAAAAAAAGATGGGTGTAGCGGTAGTGTTATTGTTCACATTTTCTAATGACTGACTTTCCATTTCATGGGGGGATTGAAATTTAAATAGCCTATTCCTATTAAACCGAGGAGCCTAAAATTCTAAACCACAGTTTGAAGGTAGACTTACAAATGTAACCTTTTTCATGCGAGTGAGTGTTACAAGATACACGTGTTGAATAGTTTTCAAACTAGGTCCTCTTTTTTCTTTTTGCTACAACTGAACACTATAGTTGAAATCCCCTTTAGGTTAATAAGCCAATATTATGGCCCCACCCAGTTACCCAGCATTTTTTAAAAAATAGGGGAACTGGCTCCGCCTTTTCCTCCTCCCGCGCTCCTAAGTGACCACGCCCCCACCTCGTACATCCTCTAGGAACCACAGAGCTCCCACTTCAGCCGATCGTGACGCACCTTCGGCGCCATCACCTCCTCCACCCCATAGAGCGCGCTCCCGACGAGCCCAGCATCGCTCGGGAGCGCGCGTCGGGAACGTGCATGCCCCACGTGACCCGCTTGGAGCCAACAGGAAGCAGAAACTCACTGGGCGCGAAGCGCGTTCTCGCGAGCAGTTGCTGCAGGCGGGAGAGGCGAGCAAGGAGGGAAAGGGCTCCGAGCAGAGCGCGTGCAGACTCGCTCCCCGAGAGGTCTCTGCCTGACGCGTCGCCATGTCCGAGGAGAAACCTAAGGTAAGTGGGGGCGTTCTCTCGCTCCGCACAACCTCGCTCTTCGTTAGATGTCTGCCTTGCCTCCCTATGGAGGCCAGGCCTCTCGGGAGTCTGCAGGCGGGCTATCGCCTCATAGCGGCTCTTCGGCTTCTGTGTGCTTCCCGCGGCGCCTTTTGAGAGCGGAGAGTGGGCTCCTCCGGAAAGGAAAACCCGGCTCACTCCCCGTCTTGGGCCCGAGGATGAGTGTTCCCCGCCCCGGTTGTGAGCGAGAAACCGGACCCGCCTCACCCGGAAGGAGGGCACTGCGAGGGGGCGGCTCGCCTACGCTCTTTCTCCGAGGAGCTCCCGCAGGAATTGAAAGGGTACTTAGGCCGCAGCCGCCTGTTTTTCTTACACCTCTGACACTTTCGGTACCCGTAGTAGATGGGCTCGTTCTTAGTCTTCTATGATACATGCCTTCCACAGAGTACCTGGTCGGTGAGCTGCCCAAAGATGGGGTGCCTGCGTTCGTTTGGGTTTGGCGACCGAGCGACCCGATTCCCGATCTCCTCTCGCTCTCGAGGGTTAGATAGCGCGGGATCACCACGTGCTTGGGAGTCTCAGCTTAAGTAAAGGGCCGACCCCGACTTCCTTTCCTCCCTCCCTCCCTTCTCCTTTTGTCTTTCTGCGTGCAATTAGTGGAGGTGGATCAGAGTCCTTACCAAGGTTTCAAAAGGCATTTTACTCTCCAGTTGCTTGAGAAGAAATTCATTTCGTCAGGAAATCGTTTTCCAAAATTGTTCCGTGCTTTGGATTATAAGCCATATAATCCTAGATATGTGGTAGGATATCGTTAATTGAAGAACCGAATGAGTATAATTATTATATATATATATATATATATATATATAGAGAGAGAGAGAGAGAGAGAGCTCTTGGTTGCAGTCTTCTGAGTGCTGATTGGGAAGTAAAACTCATGAAACTTAAAAAGAGCTACAAATAAAAATTTAATTGGAGATACTTTCTATTTAGTTCTGTGGGATTTATTTCCAATATCGTATGCATCAGATGTGTCATCAAGCCAATGTTGACTCTTAGCAATCACATAGCTAGAACTTCTCTTATCTGTCCCTAACCTGATCATTTAGGTCTTTTCTTGTAAAAGCATTTCATGGCCTTACAATAAAATAATTTGACTGGGTAGAAATGTAGAAAACTTCAAATTCTTACTAAGGTACAGTATCTGGAGTTCACTTTTTTTTCAAGCATTTGTTTATATATCATATACATTAGCTTTACCTAAAGGCTCCTAGAGTATAAAAAGTCACAGCAAAGCAATATCAAATAAAAATTAGAATCTTAAAGACAAATCACATTAAATAGGGTTGGTACACACACAAGTCCATACACCCTACTTTAGTACAATGGGGTGTATGTGTCTATATGTACTGAAGACATGGGGCTTGAAGAAGAGAAGCAACATGACCATAGTTATTCCAATTAGCCACATCGCCTTTTATGCTGTCTTTCCACAGGATAAGCTGCTGTTTTCACATTAGTATCATTTTTGCTGTGGGAATTTTAAAAAACTTTCTGAGAAGTATTTATCCATAGTTGCCAAGTTAAGTGATCCAAAGTATAATATATTAACATAA